GGACCAGGGCTCTGAGTGTGGCCCGGGCCTGGGTCTAAGCATTGAGAGCCTACTGCTGGACACCTGGTGGCTGGGCAGCCCAGGTGCCCATACTCTCCTGTGTGGTCACTGCTGAGCTGGGTTTGGTGGTGACATCATGACCTCCTTGTTGGGTCGTCCAAGAATGGACCCTGGTGTTGTAGTCTCACTCCATTTGAGGTTTTAACAAGTCCATCCAGCTAAACCCTGGTCCAGCTCCTGTCATGAGAGAACGGGGCTATTCCTGACTCTCAGTGGGCAGCTGTTTTTACGTTGGGAGGAGGGTTGGCTGGCAGGTGGGTGGGGGGAGCTGGCTTGTGCCATTCCTGGGCGAGGCCGCTTCTCACAGTGCACCATGTCTGTTTGCTCCCAGGACCAGACGGTGGTGCTGGGCCTGATCGAGACCATTGACACGGTGATGAGGCACGTAGCTGCCAACCTGCATGCCTGTGAGCCCCAGGTCTCCATTGTTGGCTCCTCCTCCATGGCAGGTAGGGGTGTCAGTGGGAGGTGCACAAACCACGGGGGCATTGGCAGGGCTAGGACAGGTCACGGGGGCATTGGTGGGGTGTTGGACAGATCATGGGGACGTTGGTGGGGTGTTGCACAGATCACGGAAGTGTCAGCAGGGGTTGCACTGACCATGGGTGTCAGTGAGGGTCCATAGACCACAAGGACATGGGTGGAGGTAGGGGTCACACAGCCCATGGGGGCCTTGGTTGTGGGTGGGAGTCACATAGACCGTGGGGCACCAGTCAACCCCACTTCCATGCAACCTCTTCCTCTTCCTCATATACACAGACGTGCTCACGGGTTTAGTGTCTCTGTCCGTCTTCCTAAACTACGGGTGTTATATTCTGGGACAGAACCCAGAAGATGGCTACGTGTAGTGGGGTTTACTGTGCACACACAGTGGAGGACTGCTCAGCCAGAGAGAGCCCTGGACTCCCCATACACGCCACAGGGCTACCAGAGGGGTCTTTCACCCTCCCTCCCCTAAACCCATCCGGTGAGCAGGTGACGGGTCCACACAGTGTGGTCCACACAGACCATGAAGGACTACTCAGCCAGAGAGTGATGAGTTCCTGAGGCACACCACTGCACAGGGGAACCCCGAAAACACAATGCTGAGTGAAGTCAGCCCGTCACAGAAGCACGGAGACTCTTTGACCCCACTTCTGCAAGATATCTAGACTAGGCAAGGGTTTGGAGGCACAGGTTTACTAGTGCGGACTAGGGGACGGGAGGAGGAACTCCGGTTGTGTAGTGGTTAAGGCATTTGGCTGCTAACTGAAAGGCTGGTGGTTCAAACCCACCAGCTTCTCTGTGGAAGAAAGATGAAGCCATCTGCTTCCATAAAAATTTACAGTCTTGGAGACCCAGTGAGGGTCACTATGAGTCAGAATTGAGTCCATGGCAGGGAGTTTGGTTTTTAGAAGGGCTGGAGGAGGGAGGGCCGCGGGAGGTGTTGCTTAGGGACACTGAGCTCCTGCTAAGGGTGACCGAAAACTTTTGAAAGTGGTGTGTGATTAGTCGGAATCGCACACCTGCAAACGGCGAAAACAGCAGCCTTGGTGCCGTCTGTATTTTGCCACAAAATCCCATAAAGAAGGTGCATTCTAGGGGAGAATGCGATGAGACCAGGCAGGTGCCTGTGGGCCACACAAGCATTTCGGGGTTACTCGGAAACCACGTGTGGGCCGCGGATGGTCGTCCCAGTTCAGAAGGGGGTGCCCACTTCGAGCTGGCTCCGTGCTCCCCACGGCCTCTGTGCAGCGCCAGGCGGGCCGCCCGCTTCGAGCGGCTCCGAGCTCTTTCAAAGCCTGACTGTCTCGAAAGTGGATTTCTAGGCCTTTTTCCCAAGGAGGCTCTGGGGGGACTTGAGCCTCCAGCCTCTGAGGCAGCAGCCAAGTGTTTAGTTCACCGTTGGTGCTGCCCAGGGAGCCAAGTGGCTATGGCTAAAAGCCTTTGTGTACAAAGTGGGGAAGAGCCAGTGCTGTTGGTGTGGAGCAAGCTGGGGAAACAGCTTGGCTGACCCCGGAAGTGAGTGTCAGTGCCCTGCGTCCCCTGACATTGCTCCAGGGAGTCCAGTTCTTGGCCAGTGTCCGAAGCCCAGGGGCCCGGGAGCCCCGAGTGACAGTGTGACTGCCTGATGAGCAAGGTGGGGGCCTCTGGGCTGAGGGCCCCTGGTGTGGGCTGTGGGCTTATAGCCTAGTCCAGGACTTCCTGTGGGCTTACAGCCTAGTCCAGGGGTTCCTGGACCCCTTGTCCTGGGCTTGTCCCTGTCTGAGGTGGCTGTGATGTCCAGGTGCCTGCTCCAGGAGGGAGACGAGCAGAGGGGCTCCCAGCCAGCATCCCTCCCAACGGTGGCACTCAGACCAGCCTTCTCCTTCCTCCCACAGAGTACTCGGTGGGGAAAGTCCTCCCCACGACCACGAACACCTCCCACTACCGCTTCCTGGCCCAGGGGCACAGCTACATCCAGATCCCGCATGAGGCCTTCCACAGCCAAGGTGAGCAGCGGAAGCTTCCAGAAGGGCTGACCCACCCCGCCCATACCCCAGGACCCCAGGCTGTGGGAGTGTCTCAAGTGCATCCCCTTCATGCTTGCAAACAGGGCCGGGGCCCAGCTAGGCCTCCTGAACCAGAATTCGGGGTGGGGACTAGGACTCTGGATGTAACACACTTCCTAGGGGATTCTGGTCCACCATAAGGGTCCCTTGTCCCTCCAGTCTGTGCAGTTCCTTG